GTCTGCATCAACTCAATGGAAACTTTTGTGTGTGTATGTGTGTCAGAAAATACAGAGTGAACTAGACATCGATTTTGTCATGTTTCTGTATACAGACCAGTGGCGATTGATTCCATTCTTCAAGTTGCTCAACCCTTCTCATGATCTTTTTACAAATTATTCCACTTCCATGAAGATAACCTCACTGCCCGTACAATTCTCATGTAGCCTTTCAAGTTTCTGTGGTCAGCCTGACCCCATACAGATAGTTCTTGGCAAAGCGCCCGGCTCAAGATAGACGCTCCTTACTAATGAAGTTATTATTTATCTTAAAGGTGACTTCGAGGGAGTTTGGTTTAAGGGTTAAAGGTTATTTAGGGCCGTAGTTTCCAGGGTCAATCTGGCCTCCAGGGTTCCAGAAAGTTTGGCTGCCACAGTCATTGGGATGGTTGATGTTTACTGCTACTTCCTGTACCACTGCTCACCTGGGCTCACCTGCTCAGGCATCCCACCTTTATCCTGGCTCCTCCACTGCTGGTTCCCAAGTGCCTGCCAAAGATGCATCACCAAGACTCACTGCCATCGAGTCGAGGGTGCCTCAGAGAGATACCCTGCAGGACAGGCTGGAACTGGCCTGTGGGTTTGTGAGACTGTGACTCGTTATGGGAATCCCATCTGCAGATACGGCCTTTTAAAACTGTGTGTCTTCTCCTTTGTATTTCACAAAAGCAGGAAGTATTCATCACTGAGAAATAAGAAAATACAGACGAGCCAGTAAAGCAAGTAGCTCCTCAGAATCTCCCCACCTAATGATGACACCTGTCGGTGCCATGGCTATGTATTCTTTTAGGTCTCTTTACGCCACACAGACACCCCATCCTTTTTATCACCTATTAAATCACTTCACACATTAAGACATTAACCTGCAGCTCATGGTAGAATCGAGCCCCTCTCTGCAGCCCTGACCCTCCCAGTATCTCCCTATTGGGAAGGTGATGTGTTAATATGTGACCCCACCGTGCCACCGGTTCCCACAGAGTTGTATTAACAGTTGTAACTTCACACTCACTGCAACTCATGCCCAGAGGAACAAAATGCTGCCCGGGCCTGCATCTGCACCGCACCATCACCACCACCACCACCACCACCATCACCATCACCATCACCACAGTCATTTGTGGATTAGATGGCTGCGATCCATAGAGTTTCACTGGCTGAGATTCAGAAGTAGTCTGTCCTGGTCTGAAAGCCCCCTGAAACCTGTTCAGCAAGGTAGCCACACACACCAAGCCGTCGTGGACAGACAGGTAGTTGCTGACAGACAGATGGGAGCTGTGTGTGAGGTGCCTTGACTGGTCATTGAACCTGAGCGCCCCACATGGAAGGTGAGAATCCCACCACTGAACCAGGAACCAGCTTGGTGCCGGTTGATGAGTGAAGCATCCTCACTTAGCACTGATTCCTGCTTGGTGGCACCCTGCTGGGCAGACATCAACGCCCAGGGAGAGCTGGCTGGTGCAGGGGCGTTTTTGGTGCGGGGTCTCCCTGCTTCTTGACACGCTGAGCCCGCTGTCAGAGCGGCATGCGGGTCCACAACTACCCCTTCTCATGCGCCATACACACAGGCTCCATCATTCCTTGTCAAACCCATACGGACACTTCTGACATACATGATGGGGAGGGTGGGGGGGTGTTCAAAGGTGTGTGGGAAACTTCCGTTATTCTTTGGTTCTATTTTTCACAAACTTTTTAATGCCCCATCCCTTACTGCTATTAGGAAATTCGATATGAGAAACATGACTATAACTATTTCTAGTAGAAACTTCCCCCGCCCCCACCTCCTACCCCATGTGAGGTTATTCTTAGAAAAGCCACATTCATTCTTTTTTTGTATTTTCATTTTGGGCTACACCAACTGCAGGGCCGAAGTGAACTTTGGTTGTGTGACCTCAAAATACCTGAGGTTCCTTAAGTCACTCGATCCCCCTGAGGCTCTGGCAGCCCCAGCCCTTCTCCACAAGGACGCCATCCTGTAACCACTCGCTTTCAACCTCAGATGCCATCACAGACCTGGCCTCGCACCCCGGGTACTATGGGAACCTGGTAGAGGAGTCCATGGGGAAGTGCTGCCTGGTGACCGAGGAGATTGAACGCGACCTGCACCGCTCCTTACCGGAGCACCCTGCCTTCCAAAACGAGACAGGGATCGCCGCCCTGAGGAGAGTGCTGACAGCCTACGCCCACCGGAACCCCAAAATTGGATACTGCCAGGTGACAATATATGCACTGATGCTCAGACTCCTCCCTCCAAGGAGGCGCTGTGTCTCATGCGTCTCCAGGGGGACCCCCTGCTCTCTGCTCCTTTCATCACCAGTCCTCAGGCTGTTTGGGGGGAAGGCCCTGTAAGCAAACCGTGGGCCCTGTTCTTCAAAACCGCGTCTGATGGCCAAAGGCTCGTCCTTGTGTGGTCACGCTGGCTGATGGGGAAGTGATCAGGAACCGTCTAGTGGCTTGTCTGAGGGAACATGTAGCGGTGCCGAGTTACTACCCACTCCCTCCAGGGAGGATTCCAACCTCACCACGGATTACTGTACCTTCTGTAGAGCTTTATTTTGTCTAGACTGCTATAGCAAATAAAACCTATGGCTTTCAGAATGGCAGTGCTATGCAGGAGGAAACACAAGGAAGACATCCTCTTCCTCTGAACAGTCCTGACTTCCAGGGCGGAGGGAACACTGCAAGTTTAGAACGAGTCCATTTAAACAGCAGACACCCCAACACATGAGAGATGCTCTGACATTTCAGCCATTTCAAAATGTAGGATTTCGAACTTTGCTCACCTGTGTGTGAGCAGAATCTACGGCTGAATGTAGGGGTGTGTGTGTGTGTGTGTAGTCAGTGGCTTGATCGAAGCCCGAGGAGGCGCACAGCCAAGCCCAGTGCATCCAGGTGGGGGACAGTGACTCAGTTTTGGCTAGTCGTGGAATTCATTGGTCTTGTGACGACCCATTTTGATAGCAGGGTTGACCCATTTCAGTAAAGCTGGACTGTGAGGTTTTCTCTCATCTGAAAGTCCTTGATTTTGTGGAAGGAGCCTGGTAGCAGTATGGGAAAAGCACCAAGTCAGCGGTTCCAGCCCACCAGAGCACTGAGAAAGAAAGACAAGGCTGTGTGCTCAAGGAGTGACTGACAGTCTCTGAGCCACCCTGAGCCAGAGTGGACACGGTGGCAGTGGGTTTGGCTTGGGGTTTTGAGCGTGTCCATTTTTAAATCTCTGTGGTATCACATGATCCAACCAGTAACTTTCTGCTCCCCTCCCTCCGCATCCCGAGCAGTCCATGAACATCCTGACGTCAGTGCTGCTGCTCTATGCCAAAGAGGAAGAAGCCTTCTGGTTGCTGGTTGCTGTGTGTGAGCGGATGTTGCCCGACTACTTCAACCACCGAGTGATAGGTATACCAACCCCCTCAGTTGTTGCTACCTGGCTGGAGGGCCGTGATGAAACCTGGGTCAAGTGTTTGTCATCAGTCCTCGTTATACAAGCCCTCTGTGTCTGCCACCCACGTAGTCTCTGTGTAAATACTCCGACATTCACATGTGAAAACTAACTTGGGTCATTCATTGTAAAAGGAGTAAGGTAACTCAGAGACTCTCCTGCTACAAATACCTACACGTTTTAGATGGGTGGCCTGAACTTACCAGAAGGAATTCCTGGGCCCAAGAATCAAGTCATAAAGTAGAAGGCCGTGTGGTGTTTGCATTAATGCTATGAGCTAGGTCGAAGGGAGGGGGTGTTACTCCTGGGAACCCAGTGGTCCTGTACAGACAGGTGGAGATGTCCCTGGATCTCTGGAGGAGAGGAGGGAGTGGCGATGGGAGCTCGGTCCCATGTTGGAGAACCTCCAAGCTGTGCCTTCCGTGAAAAGGCAGACTTGGTAAACCCCCCACCCCCACCCGCCTAACGAGGGACAGTAAGGAAGTGGACTTACCCTGCCTGAGCTCTGGACAGATCCGTGACCCACAGCGCTCGTCCACTCTGCTTCTCTGTCCCTCGTGAGATTAGGCTCCAAATTTACCCCTTTTCTGTGGTCCAGGACCAACTTAGTGAAGAAATTACTATCAAGTGTTACTGGTTGATGATACTCCAAGAGCCACCTTTAAGTAAGTAATCGAGATGCGAGATGGAGGGGGGCCTCAACTGAAAGTGGTGGCAGTGGTAACAGACCAACGTGAGGGAGAAGTTGGGAACTGATTGCATTTTGGGGGCTGGCCAGAACGAAAGGACTGATGTCTTGAGGCCTCTGCGGATTGTAGAGGAACTGGAAGGGACGCTTAACTGGGAAGGAGGTGACTGCCTTTTGTGAGCACACAGTGTTCAAAGTGCCGTCAGGGTCATGGCCAAAATAAACAAGTAGCCAGACGAGTCTGTCTTAGAAGAGGTTGCGGATTGGACACCTGGTGTGCTTCTCAGTGTGCCTGTTACTGTCTCCACCAGTTCCCTTCATGCCCTGAGTGACACATTATCTTGTTGCCTTTCATCGTGGGTTGTGCAGGGCTACTTCACATTGTAGAGTGTGTCAAGGAATAAGTGGAACCTTGATGTGTTAGGAAGCATGGTGTCAAAGCCAGTGGTTGATGAATGTTGGTACGTCACAACTCCTCCTCAGCAGTGACCGACTAGACTCGATTATCACCTGCATACAGGATGGGACCTTTGGAACATCTCTTCGACCCCAGAAAGTTCCCTCCTGCTTCTTCCCAGAGGCAAACATTTGGTACTGATCTCTCTCCCAATAGAGAGCCCTGGTGGCATAGTGGTTACAAATTGGGCTGCTAACTGCCAGGTCAGCAGTTCAAAGCCACCAGCCGCTCAGCAGGCTTTCTACTTTAGTAATGAGTTTGAGTCTCAGGAATGCACCAGGGGCTTTCCTAACCTGTCCGATGGGGTCGCTATGACTTGGTGCTGACTCGATGTCAATGACTTTGGTCTTTAGTGTAGATGAACTGGGCTTATTTGCTTCGCTTCATTTCTGTGTGGTAGTAGAAATTATACTCCCCGGTCCTGCTTGCTTCACACCTCTCTGTGGCAGGCTCCGCGCTATTGCCGCATCTGTACTTCCGTTGTATTTCCGAGTTGTAGTCAGTTGTGTATTCATACCATCATTTGGTTACCCCCCCCCCACCTTGGGATGGGCATTTGGGCCGTGTACCGTTTCGGGCTATCGTAGTTACTCTGAGCATTCGTGTGTAAGTCGTTTGTAAGCGTACGTTATCATCCTCGTGGGTAATTACCTAAGAGTGGAGTTGCATCCTGAGAGGTCAGCTGTGCATTTAACTTGAAATAAGAATCTATCAGTCTTCCAAAGCGGGTATGAAATAGTCATAAAACCCCTACCTAGCAGTTCTAAATCCTTGCGGATACTTAGTCTTGTCTTTTTGTTATTGTAGTCAATCTCGTAGGTGAGAGTTGAATCCTGGTGTTGCCCTGGGTAACACTTGGCTGCTAGCCAAAAAGTGATGGGCTCAAACCCACCAACTGCTCCAAGGGAGAAAGAGGTGGCAGTCTGCTTCCATTGCAGCCTTAGGAACCTGTGGGGCAGTTTGGTGAAGTGGTTACAAGTTGGGCTAATGACAAGGGCAGCAGTTCGAAACTACCAGCCACTCTGTGGGAGCTGGGAAGAGTTAGTCACGGAAATTCCTAAGGGCAGTGCTCACCCTGTCCCGCAGGGTCACTGTGAGATGGCAGTGAGTTTGGTTTATGGCAGTGGCTCTCAACCTTCCTAATGCTGCGACCTTTTACTACAGGTCTTCATGTATTAATACAGGTGACCCCCAACCATAAAAATTATTTTTGTTACTACTTCATAACTAATTTTGCTACTGTTATGAATCATAATGTAAATATCTGATATGCAGGATGTATTAGGCGACCCCTGTGAAAGGGTAGTTCAACCCCCAAAGGGGTTGTGACCCACAGTGAGAACCGCTGGTTTATGGGGTCATTATGAGTGCCGCTGGGTTTTGCTTCTGTTTGCCTGTAGGGAGGTGAGCAGTGGTAGAGCATGTGGTCCTGATTTGCGTTCATTTGATGGCTATGGGTGTTGAGCAGCTTTTCCTTTGCTTTGTGGACCATTGGTTTCACCCGGCCCTTGGAAGTGTCTGTCCGCATTGTTTGCCTATTGCCCTAAGATTCAATGGTCACCATCTTCTGACTAAGTTGCAGGAGTTCTTTATTGTACATAAAACTAGCTGTCACCAGACATATGCACGGCCGAGATTTTCTCCTAATTTGGTACTTGAATTTTCATTTTTTAATGATGTCTGTTGAGGAAGACCAGTCTTAGGTTGTGGGGACGTTCAAGGGGTGGTTTTCAACTGCAGTTAGTGTTTTTTTCATGTCCTGTATTCTCCTCTCAGTGTGTTAGCTTTTATAATCATGTCCGTGCTCCATTTCAAGCATATCTTTCTGTGTGCGTGAGGTAGAGGTCATTTATTTTCCATACAGATACCTGGCTGATTACCATTTCCCCACCCGGTAGTCCCTTAGTGGAAGTGCCAAAAATCAGTGTTGTGTTCTTTCTTGGGCCCTGTGTTCTGTGCCGCTGTTGTGTTTATCTCCACAGTGCTGTCTTTTCTGCTCCCTGTAGAGAGGGTGAGCCCCTTCCGACCCCGAGCCCCCTCCCCGCTGCCTTTCTTTTCCAGGGGCTCAGGTGGACCAGTCTGTCTTTGAGGAGCTCATCAGGGAGCACCTCCCGGAGCTGGCTGAGCACATGAAGGACCTCTCCGCCCTGGCCTCCGTGTCTCTCTCGTGGTTCCTGACCCTGTTCCTCAGCATCATGCCCTTGGAGAGTGCGGTCAATGTCGTAGACTGCTTCTTCTACGATGGGATCAGAGCCATCTTCCAGCTGGGGCTGGCGGTGCTCGATGCCAACGCCGAGGACCTGTGCAGCAGCAAGGACGACGGGCAGGCCTTGATGATCCTCAGTCGGTGGGTGTCTGCCCCCTGAGTCTGTGGTGAACCGGGGATAGAGCGGGCAGTAAGCAGATACCTACACGTTATCCCAGATTATGGGATATCACACCCAAATTTTTCATTGCCAGTGAGGGGCGCTGAAAATTTTTTTCCCCTGAAAGTGGGGGTGGGGTGAGGGTGGAGGAGATAGCAGGCTAAATAAGTTTGGGAACCTGTGCTCTCCATTGGGTTTGGGAAAAGTCCAACCTGCTGGCCATGTAAAGCACGTGAAGTCAACACCAGCCAATGTCACAGGCCTCACCAAAGAGCAGCAGTTCTAGCCATCACATTAGGGGTGGGTTCATTAAACGATGGACCCTCAGATATGGCCCTCGGATAATGTTATAATAGCCACATGGCCCTGGGCAGAAAAAAGTCCCCCACCTTTGGTCTAGATCCTCGGTTCTC